TTTTATTCAAACGTTATTTTAATTGTTAATATTATTTATTTATTTATTCTTTGGCCAGGGTGACTTAATTTATACTCTTAAATTATATTGTTTTATATGATGTCATTTATTTATGTTTGTGAGCTGCCCCAAGGCTTCGGCAAATGGGGCAGCATAGAAGTTTCCTAAAGAAATAAACAAACAAACAAACAAATAAAATCCTATGTATGTGTTGCTAGGAAAAAAAGCCCCGAAACATCTTGCCACAATGGGGCTTGCTAGGAATTGTGGGACCTCCCCCCCCCCACACACACTATTTTAACATGCATAGGAATGTACTTTTAATGCTGCCCACCAGAATCCCTTTCAGGGCCAACTGTGATTTCTAAGTTACATGGAAGAACCTCGCATTCTCTTGGCTAACCTGCTGTGACACAGTTTGCCTTCAATAACGCGGGGGTGTCCTGATTTCCTCCCCCACCACAGACATATTGGTGAGGCGGAGGCAGCGCAATGCTTCAAGAAGTCTCCATAATTAAGTGGGAACAGAGAGACGGACGTGTGGAAGGAGGCTGCTCCCAGGGCTCTGCGCATGCTCTGCAGCACCATGTGTTCAACCCAGACTTGGCTGTACCCACTGGAAATCCATGAGACTTAAGTGGGGTGTGATTAATTCAGGGTCCATTGGTTTTCCATGGATCTCTTTAAGAACGATCACACCTGGATCCACCCCAACATTCACAAGCGACTGTCTTGCACGGATCGGATGTTTATCCACCAAAATTCCCCAGCAGGCTTTTTGTGGGCTACAGAACTGACAGCGGTCAGTTGGTCCTCCCTGCAGAGACACCGCCCTGACTTTCCTCTGTCTCGGCATGGAGGAAGGGGCTCAGCACTGGCTGAACTGGGGCCTCCTTCTGACACTTCTCCTCTTCCTGATCATTGGTGGCAAGAGATGCATGGAAGACGATCGGACCAAGGTGACTCCTTCTAGTGCCAGCCAAGACCTCGGCCCAGGAGACAGCTTGCGGGCCCTTGCTGGTTCCTTTCTAGATCGCTGACTGAAAGGAGCACAATTAGCCACTGCCGGGCCTAACTGTAATAATGGAAGGAGCTGCTTCCTTTCATCTTTTTCCTTCCTCCAAGGAGACCATGCTTCCAGGAGATCCCCTGTTTATGCAGTAGCTAGGTCCAAATCCTCTTTGCCACATGATGTGGCTTCAGATTCTTTCCTGTATATACTGGCCATAACCAAGGAGAGGACCTGGAGGAGCATGAGGCAGCAGCTCTGGAGAAGCAAAGCAGCGTTGGCCTGGATGGGGAACCGCCTGGGAGTTCATTCTATGTTGCCTCACATTCAGATGGAATAAAGGCTGGGAAAAAGCATACACGGTGCTCATTTGCTCACTTGTTGGGCCTAAATCATGCATTCCAGAATGCAATAGAAGATGCCTTCTGGTCCAACACCATCCCAGCTACACTGAGAAAAAAGCTTGCGGGGTGAAAGGGTGACGTTTAGCGCAGAGCCTCTGCTGGAGAGATTCAAGTGCTGGAGTTGGGATGCAAATCACAGTGGAATCGCTCTCCTTAGGAACCACTGGACTCTTTCCCATGCTGAGCTCTGGCTAGTAAATGAGCCAAGTTGAGATCAATCCACAAATGCTCAGGCTTGCTGGCACATCCGTTGTGCAAAGTATCCAATTCTTCATGTATGATACACAAGGTATGGGATTCTTTGCAAAAATATGCAAAACACGTGATTTTGCAAAATATACAAATTGCAAAATTCTTTGCACAAACTACTCAAAGTCTGCAAGTCCAAATCTGTGGAGAAGCTTGCCCTGCTAGTGAATGGGATGGAACAATAGGCCGACTCAGTAAGAGATGGGTTCCCTTATGGGCGTCTATATGTCATCGGTCACCAGTAAGGAAGTGTTCACCTCAGAAGGATGCAATGTATCTCTCCCACAAGGTCCCTCCCTCCATCTCCATAGGACTGGGGCGATCCAGGTCATGGATCCACGCCAGGAGCAGGACTTGAGCTGGTCCTCCCCTGATGATTTGGATTAAAACTCCCATGATCCCAATCTGTTGGCTAGGATGATTGGGGCTCATGGGCTCCAAAGTCCAAAACATCTAGAGGGCATTGCCCACAACTTCTCTCTCTTGCGCACGCATTCGCCATCCGCCTAAACCTACAAATGGCGTACCTGACACTTGCGACACATTGACAGGAGATGCACAACAACTTCAAAAGTAGAAAAGAAAGTGGGTTTTCTCGGCTTTGTATGTGCTTAGAAAATACAGTAACCATGAAGAGAATTCTTTAACTGATACGCATCAAAGCTCCCCAGGTTGCATTCCATCAGTGTCAGACGATGGGAAAGATCACAGATAATGCTGCTTCCTTCTTGGTCAGAGAAAGATTTCAAGCACTTTTTTACTCCTAGCACACAATGAACCTTTGACCACATTGTCTCCCGTGTCCTTTGTCTCCATACAAATGCAGAACGGAGGTGGAATTACTGAAACTGCAAATCTTTCCGGTCTGCCCTTAAAATGCCGGGAAGGCTGCATACAGAAGAGCCGAAGCAAAGGAACCGGTCTGAAGCTTTTGCTTCAAGGGTGAGCTGCTGTACCCTTTACCTACACAGTCAGTCCCCAGGACACTGTTCATTACTTGGGTTGCTTAACCTTTAGACTAGAAGCCTGTGGGCAGGACTTGTTTTTCTTAAGTATTGAGAGGCACCTGACGGAACCTTCCCAGCCGTTGTACTCCTCAGGTGCTTTGGCCTGCATCTGCCATCAAGCTGACATTGCAACTGCACGGGGTGGCAGTGGCTGCCATCCAGCCTTCTTTCTGAGGGACGTTATACGCTACCGAACCGAACCAAGCCAAATGCTGACATCACCAGTAGCGCAGCAGCCTGATCCAGAGGCAGAACATGGACTCAGCTACCTCCGTGTTTCCAACACTGAAGGCAGTGCTCTGGGTTCTCAGGAGAGCCTTCTATTTGCCCTACCTGGGAAGATACACCGAACATGTCAGTTTGCATTTCAGACTCACTTAATTCTAAGAACCACAACGATGGCAGGAACAACACGGTGCTGATGTCAACTGCCTTGACGTATTTGGAAACGAGTGTGATTCTGTTGGTTGTTGTAGGGATGTGCCATCAAGTGGTCTTGGACTTGGGGCAACCCAATCCAAGAAAACCCTGCAGAATGTACTCTCCTGTAAATTCAAGGCTGTGGCTTCCTTGATGGAATCCAGCCATCTCCTATTTGGGAAATATGGTAGAAAAGGAGAGATGATTTTAGAAGTAAAGTAAATAATGGGCATTCTGTAACTGTGTATAGCCACCCAGCGAGAAGGAGAATTAGAAAAAAATAAGAAGCAACTCCTAGAAACAACCCTGGTGGAACTCGGCAGTTCTGTGCTGACCCCCAGCCCCCAAAACCTTCTGGATCCTGGCTGCCCATCTGCCAGCCAGGTTTTGGAAGCCCAGTATCTTGGGTTTGGGGTCATCCCTATCACCTCTCACCCCTCTTTGTAAATTGAGAAGCTGGGGGTCGACACTAGGACTTTTCTACACACGAAGTATAAGTTTCAAGCTATGGCTGCTCCACTTCTCCCTAGCAGCAGGCGAGAGAACGGCCTGGAAGAAATTGAGTAGCGTGATCTTGACACCGATGAAGCTAGTAGCAGAACAAAGGCAAGATACATTTAGGCGAGTCCAAGGGACTCTTCTCGCGGCTTCAGGCAGAAGGCTGCCCATGACGTATGGATTGAGCGAGGAAGGTCTGTGTTCCATTCCCAGCTTTACAATCTGAAGGCTAAATAATGGTTGTGTCAGTTCCTCAGGATAACCTGGCATCAGTTCATTAACTATCCCATCTTTAATTAACAAACATGGTATTTGATGATCACCAGAGAGAGCTGCCTCTTGCATACCAACCTGCCTAGTCAACTGAGGTCATGGGATGCCGTGCTCTTGGTGGGCCTACAGACTGACTGGAGTCCACCCAGTGTGGACTCTGGACCTCCCTGTCGCTAAAGGTCAGACTGGTGCCAACACGGCGTTGTTTTTGATGCCTCCTGAAAGCTCATTTCACAAAGCCTTCCTTGACTGACCAGCCATCATTTTTATCGATTCTGCTTTAACATATTGCTTAATTCCTCTCATCTGTCTTTTAGCTGTTCACCGCTCTGTATACCGGAATACAGAATGGTGTATAACTCTTCTACAACGAATAAATGCTGTGGATTGGGAGTCGTGTACAACAAAGAAGAAAACACACCCCAGAGGTGGTTCACATCCAGTCCACAGCTTGTCAGGAAAACCTCTTTGGAGAAACCGTTCCTCCCCCACCCAACACCCACCCACCACGACGCTCCATTCACAAGATTAATTGTATGCCAATCATTCTGAAAGTTACCTGTTGCTACGGCAATCTACCTCCAGCAAGGTTAATAGGGGCTGCTGAGACTTGCTATGATGAATGGACTGCTGCACAGAAATCCCGTCTCTTTGCTCGCTTGTAATGTCAGCAAAGGAACATTTTGGAAGGAGGCGGCCTTTCCTCGCCCTGCGTTCTACCCTGGAAGAGAAGCCAGCCTTCTTTTCCCTGGGATCCAAGCCATGACAAAGCATGGCCTTGTCTGGATGTCCAGGAGAACACAACCTCCATCTAAAGGGCCTGCTTTTGATGAGCCCCCCCCCGCCCCGCCTTGCTGTCTGCAGCAAGGAGTGGCAGTTTCCAGGCTTACGAGATCCATTGTGCGCCTTTTCTAGAAATGCACAGATGGAAAGACGACAGAGGAAAAGAAATGCACCATCACACAAGTGCCTGCGTTCCTGAGGGGAGCACTAAATAGGTGGGGGGGGGACACATTGGGAGCGGACCCTCCTTGTCCTTCTCAGGCAGGGCTCAACGCCCTCGGTGCCTGAGCTTGCAACTTCGGGCGGCAAGGCCTGAAGGGGACTTCTGGTAGGATATGGGTGAATTCCCCGCACCGTCGATCCTTCCCAGCGCCTGAGTCAAGGCAGGGGCCTATCCCAAGAAGACCCCTGGAGTTGCTGCTTCTCTTTGCCAGTGGAACCTGCTTCTTCATCAGCTGCTCACTCTGGACAAGGGAACGGAGGTGGTGGAGAAGCCACTGGCTGTGTGCCCATCCAGCGGGAAGCCGGGGTGAGGAAGAGGATAAACGAGGGTGCCAGGTGACTACGGCAGTGGGGGCCTACCGGGGGTGTGTTGCCCAAAGGTCCCCACAGCCTGGAGGGAAAAGCAAGACATACTTTCCTTGCTTTCCAGCAATCTTTAGCAGAACTCCCCTTCAACACGGGGGGTCAGGAACTGAGGAGGCAGGCCCGGCACTCATGAGGACGTAGGTGGGGGCAACACTCCTCTGGACGTTTAAGCAGAAGTTTTAGAATTCAGGGGTTCTCAGGGCAGGAACCAGCATTGTACTGGCCAACCTGGCATGGACTGAGTCGTATTGTATTTGTGAACAATGGGGAGTCTGGAACCCTTGCCAATCTAGTGCAAATCACCCCCAAATCCACCAACAGATCTCATTCTACCTTGGATCCATCCCAGTCTACAATCCTACACATTTCTACACACTGATGGCCTTGTGGTTTAGGTTTTTGGGTGTGTGGCTGAATCATCAGAAATAGGAACACATATACATGCAGGAAGAGAGAGACGGGAATAGAAGCAAGATAGAAGGTTTTTGCAGCTATGACTTCAGTACTAAATAAATTACTATGTAAATATGAGTAGGTTTCAACCACCAAAATAAAGGCAACTTTGGGCACAACATCTCCAATTTTTGGAATTTCCCATTTATGACACCTGGGATCAGAAACATTGAAACTGAAATACAAGAGTTTCTAGCCAACTGGAATTTTGGGCTGGGCATAAAATACAGACTAGGAAGAATGGAAGTTTCAGTTTCTAAGATCTAGTGTACTACCACAGACCAGAAAACAGGATTGAGAGGCCATACGTCATGATCCAGTCGCTTTCCATTTTACAGAAGGGGTAGGTCTCTCTCCTGTTACCTTTAGAGAAGTCCATCTCTGAGGTGGTAAGGAATGAGAGGAGATAGAACTCAATTGCCTCTTTGCTGTTTCCTCTTTTTCCTGCCCAGCCCATCATTAAATCAATTCATTTAAAAAAACAGTGCAAGAGGGACTAGTTACACTTCAGCACGGGGATTTCTACATGCAAAATGATTTGCAAATGCTAAGCCCCATTATATCCCTGCAGAGTAAGTTCTCGCTTCCTTTGGGGACTGCTTGAACCTGTTGTTGCCTTGCTTCTAAGAGAAGGGCAATTCTAATAGCTAAAACCGGGCGACGTTTGACAGACACTGCTGGGTTGTGGAAGAAAATAAATAGAGAGCCTTAGCAACATCGCTGCTCCAGACCATTGTACAAATTTGGTAAAAAACGATGCAACAGCAGCCCCTGCTGTAGGGCCAGAAATGCTTAGAGGTGGGAGCTTCAGCAGTCCAAGCACCTGCTGAGCTTCTTTAGTCTGGGCGATGACTCCTTGGTCCCGAAAGCTTTCTCATTTAAAGGTCATGTTTGCCATGAAAGACACACGCCGAAGGATGAGGCAGCTCAGCTCTGAGACAGAGATCTAAAACCACTACAGACAAAAGAACTTGCACCCAGGGTGGTGTTAGAAAGAAAGCATCGTTCTGCAAACTCTGATCTTGCTTTTCTTCTCCAACAGGCTGAAACAGTCAAAAGATGACGGAATTCTGTACTGAAAGGGGAGGGGGCACATGAACTAAGCAAAAATAGGAAGGTGAAGTATGAAAACTTGCATCTGCACCCTCTTCTAGAGCAAGCACTGCCTGAAATTAATATTAATAATAATAATAATGCCCTGTTCCACAATTATCCTCCAGAATTCATTCCCCAGTGACATGTGCCTATTGCAAGAAAGTGCCAGAAGACAGAAGCAAAGTAAAAAAGTCTCTCTCTCTCTCTGTATGTATGAACCAGTATTTATTAACATTCTTCCCATGATAAGGCAGGACTTCCTATCTCTAAAAAGCTTCCCAGATGTTCATCGAATGTCTTTGAGGTCACCTGCTCTTGTTTCCTCTTTCACTTAAAAGAACCTACCCAACACTCCTCCCCAACTCTTCATCTGGTTCTGAACTAAGTGCCGGATCAGCATCTATACGAAGCTTTGTCGTGCCAGGTGTGCGTACCTGCAAATCATAGCCTCTGCATAAAGCATGTGCGCTTTCATCCTTTTTACAAAACAACGGATTTATAAGCCTTCTGCATCTGCAGAGGGAAGCCTGCCTCTGTTTCTCCTTCTCCTTCTGCCGTCAAGCACAGCAAATGGGTGGAAATCTTAACGGATTGTACTGCACAAGGCAAGCCACACGAACGGCGATTTCAGGGACCTCAAAGTTTCCTGTCCCCTGTTCCACCATGTTTCACAGCTATTGGCAGAAGAGTCCTCTTGACAATTTAGTTCCAAGTTTGGTTTCGAATGCTGATTATAGAATTCCATTCCTGCTAGGCAGTCCCTGGGGATCCTGCCTAACCCCACCAGAGGGGAAGACAATTCCGCAGAGAAAATGTCTGAATTTATACAGGCCTCGCCTCGTTTCCCGTCCAAATGTCTGCCTGCTGCGTGCTTCTCTCTGGAGTGCTTTATGTATTTCTCCCTCTGAGAACAAATCGGATGCTGAGTGCTGAGAGAACTGCGGCTGAAACGAAGCCAAGGGAGAAATGAGAGGCTGCTCTCAACACGCTTGGAGATACCCCAACATTCTTGGAAAAGCAAAGAAACCGTTCTACCTCTCCCAAGCTTTACTGACTGGTGAGTAGATAAACCAGGAGGCTGGAGCACAGGGCAGGAATGGTGCTGCTGGGGAAGATGGTCACAGGGGGCTTTCGTGGAGGGCCCACTGTGCACATGGGCACGTTAGTCTTCTGTCCTTCACATCCAGGCCAGCCCCCCCTCACCATGAGCCTTGCCGTCTCCCCATGTCTCCTGGCTATAGCTTAATATGCTGGGTGCTCTCAAACCAGTGTGGTGCGGTGGTTAAGAGCATGGGACTGGGACTCAGACGGCCTGGGTTCGAGTCCCCGCTCAGCCATGGAGCCCACTGGGTGACTCTGGGCCAGTCACAGACTCTCAGCCCAACCTACCTTGCAGGGGTGTTGTTGTGGGGATAAGGTGGAGGAGGAGAATGATGTGAGCTGCCTTGAGCCCTTTGTAGGAAAAAGGCAGGATATAAATCGAAAAATAAATAAATAAATAAATAAATAAACACTGCAGAGGACACACAGGTCAGAGTGTGAACAAGATGGTCTCTGCTCATGGACTTGCAGTCAAAAAAGGAATGGCACAAGGGGAAATGGATAGGGAAAGAAAAGGAAATATTGTGAGCCGCCCCGAGGCTTCGGCGAATGGGGCGGCATATAAATGTCTTAATAAATAAATAAAATAAATAAAAAGCACAGCAGCTGTTCTGCAGGTTTGGCAGAATGGCCCCGTTTTCGACTCCCTTGTGGTTGCTGGGAGATGTCACATCTGAATAGGATGACCATATGTGGATAAAATAGCCAGGGCTAAATAACAGGGGCCGGATAAAAGCACAGAGTGGGCACAGAAAGAACGTATCGCTTTGCTTCCTGGAATGCACATTGGTTGACTGGGGGGACAGGTTCCCCGACGACACTGGCCTCTACTCCCATTTTATAAGCCTGTCCTTAAAGATGCTTCTCTCTCCTTGTAAGGACACGAGCACAAAGATGGTAAAAGCGCTTCATAATTTTAATGTGATATAACTAAACTCATTAAAGTAGCAGGTGACTGAGGCGCAGTCATTGCCCCCACCTATCGCAGGATAAAACCTTTCCTTCTGTTCTGGCTCCTCATTGTAACAATTATGGGGAAGTGAGAGCTCTGATTATTCACGATCTTTACTCTGTTGGTGCTGAAGCTTACGGGTGGCATGATTTCAAAGTCCTGAAGTACGAAAAAATCCCTCCCTTCCCCTTTTGTCATACTCTGGTCTTTGTCTACTTAAACAGACCAATTTACACCCACTGATAGTGAAGAGTGATGCGAGAGTTTGTCTACCAAAATATTTCTTGATCACTATAGCAACTGTACTCTTGATTAAAAATGGCCAAAGCACACACACAAACCTTCTTTCTGAGCAAGAAAACCCCTTCCTGACATCTGCTCACCATGTGCCTCGCTGGAATCTTTGAACCATTTCTTTCAGAGAGACACACACACGCACACACGAAACTGATGCACTGGACAGTACGCATGGCTTTGCATTTAAAGGACTCTCCTCAATTTTACCCCTGGCCGCTAGCCAACGTTTTAATTCTTTTAATTTGCACTCTGCCTTTTGGCCCAGGGAAATGACACTTGAGGCTAAACAGAGCCTTCCCCTTCAGAGGAAACGTAGCTTTGTTTACTGGTTGTTGGATCAAGTCACCCAAGGCTGTGATCTCTATGTGCCGATTGTCCTCTTTGTGGAACTTCTGGCTGACCACTGCTGGACAAAACTGGCTGGCCCACCAAGACTCTTGCCCTAACCCAGCAAGGCACTTAGGCTTGTCCAAGCCATTAAAATTAACTAGGATTTCAAAACGACAGGGCTGGTTGGTTGAAATGCCACCTTTGCAGCAAGCCTAGATTAAGCCCTCCCACACTGGCAACTGCATTCGGAATGTGTCTAAAGTTTGGTGCATGCTCTGTGAAGTCGCAGCTCTTCGTTGCTGCAGCCCTCACAGTTCCAGCTGCCGAGGAGGAGAACGGTCTGCAGCCCATCTTCATGCAAGCGTTTGAGTATAATCCTCACGCGACAGCGTCACAAGGCCAGCCACGTGGAACACGGCAATCCGAAAGGGGGCGTTACTTGGTGATGCCTGACATCCCGCTGCACTAAGGGGTACAAGCTGCAGCTTGCAAGATAAAAACACAGAAAGAAGACGGTGCATTAAAGGGAAAGCCCTCAGCCAAGCTCACATGGGCAGAGTTGCCACTTCTCTAACGGACACCTAATTCACTTGGGGTGAGTGCGCCCATCCGGAATTAAAATGCGTTTTCCCTTCTCCATTCTCCTCGGTCTTTCCTCAGCCACCAGTAACTTCTCTTGGTACTACTGATGAGAATACAATGGGCTGTTTTGTACAGCCCGACCGTGCCTAACTAAAGGCTGGGAACTGCACACTCTTGGATTGGTGAACCGATACTTGCAAGGCTGCCTGTGAGAGACCCTCCCTTTTACTACCTTTGCACTTGGCAACGTCACACCTGCAATGGCAGGAACAACAGGTGTGTCTGCTACCGCTTCTGTTCCACCATAAGGATACGGCTCCCGGATGCCGCTTGCTAAGCACAGCAAACCACAGAAGTGCTCCTGCTTGCCGCTTCCCAGGACCAACAGCCTGATGGAGCTGATGCACCTGACACCCCCATAGCCCCAAATCCCTGGACCAGGGGCTCGGGAGCAGCACCACTGTGAGGAGCTGCTGCTGAAGCTTCTCTGCTCTGCTCCTGTGGCCCGGCCTTTTCTGGCGCAGCCCACAGTTTCCTGAAATCAGCTCCAACCCCGTGCACTGGAGTTGCATTTGTTGATGCTTTGTGTCTGCATCGTGTATTTGCTGTTAGAAACAGCACTTTGCTTCCTTCCACCCGGCATAGCATTTGACTGAAACGGGTAGGGGTGGGTGGATGTGAGAGAGAATGAGAGAGAGAGAGAGAGAGAGAATGAGAGAGAGAGAGAGAGCGAGAGAGCGAGAGAGCGAGAGAGCGAGAGAGCGAGAGAGAGAGAGAGAGAGAGAGAGAGAGAGACTTAGTATATAGTACTGAGACAATATTTGTCTGTCTCCGTGTTCTTTGCTGTTGGCATTCTGTGTTCTCTCTCTCACCGTGAGCGCCCCTGTGCACCCTGGACAGGCACTCCACTGGCACACACTTGCATGAAGTGCTATTCACCAGCGCCGTCAGTGACGAGGCAGGAGACCAGCAGCGTTAAGTTCTCTTCCCAAACACCTTCCGGGAAGGGTAGCAGGAACAAGGCCAACATCAGCTCTCCCCCCACACCCTCCGAATCAACCCCGCAAAGATGCCTAGCACAAGACTCCCGATCGATTCATCTGCCCCGTGCCAGGCGGCATCCCTTACAAGGGGTCCCTGGGCACCTACGCAGAGCCATGTCAAGCAGGCAGGCAGGAACGTACGGAAGAAAATATCCTGTTGGGTCAGATACGCACGATGTTTTCAGCCCCAAGAGCAACATCTGGCATCGGTCCAGACGCACGCAGACGCTTGCCCACATGCATGCCCCCCCCCCCCCCAGTTGGGCCGCTCCAATGCATTTGGCAAACCAATGCTTCCCCTTGGCTCAGGCCAACACCACCCTCCACTCCATCACAGAGGTCCTCTTCTTGTTCTGGAAAACACAGGACTGTCCTCCTGACATCAGCACCATCCAGACCAGCACTTGGAGAACAAGGGCAGACTCACAGAGAACCTCAATCCAGAGAACTCAAGGGCCATCAGGACTGGCAGGAGAGTCCCAGCCTCCGCAACCAACACACCGAATTGGGTTCTCAAACAGCACGGATACAAAGGAAGATGGCATAAGATCAGCATCTCGTGTGAAACCTCCAGCAAGCCAGCCCAAGCCTCAGCTTCTGAACCTCTTTAAACATTTAGAATCCTTCAGAATCACAAAAAAAAAAAGGAAGAATCTTGGCAGGTGCTTTTCAGGCCACTTGGGTCAAATGAGGAACTAGACTTAGAAGTGCCTTCTGCATAAGGCAAATACTTACGTTTGCCTCGTTGCCAGGCAAAGCTGGCGTGCTTTACAAGTCTTTCCCCTCCAGCCTTCCTTCCATGAAAGTGATATTATGGCCGAAAATGGGCTATTGACTTCATTCAGGCACCGACAGGTAATTTAATTTTACAGGTCAAGGCAAAATGGATCCTTATCTTGTTTGAGTTTCTCGAAATATATATGGATTTCTTGTTTAAAGGCTTGAGGTGGGGGGAGAGGAGGGAGGGGGAAAATCAATCAAGACACCGAAAACATCTCTTTAAATTCTTCTCAAAACAATGTACAGTATCAGCTTGTTTAAACAAGTTGGAGACACTTGAGCTGAAGGAAGTTTAAGACGACTCTCTCGCCACTTCGGAGTGCTATGGACATCTCAGTTATCTTGCCCGCAGTCCACGAACACGTTGAGCATTCAGACTGGCTGCAGAATGTGCATGGACCGAGCTATGGCCTGCCTGATTTCAGTCCAAGCACAGAGGTCGTTGCCCATGGGGCACAGACCAGCAGTTGGAACAACTCATGTGCTATTGGAACTAGTAGAGCTATTTCTGTTCCTCTCGAGACTGCCTCTGAAATTCTGGTTCAAGCTCTGGCCATCCCTCTCTGAGCACAGTGAGCCTTGCCTATCGAGCCTTCCTTGTCGTTGTGTGTGAGCGCTCGGATGAGATTCCCAGGCGTGCACAAGAGATGGAGGGCTCTGGTGGGAATGGCGGCTCAGACTCGGAGGAGGGGGAGAGGAGAGCTGGCCCAGCCCTGGCTCAGAGTTCTCACTCTGATATTGGAGTTGGTGAGAGTAGTGAGGCCCCGGCTGCCCAAACCCTCCGGGTGAGCCAGCCTGAGTCAGCGCTGGATCAAAGCACTTCAAGGACAGCCACAGAGCCCCCTCCCACTCCTGACTG